CAGCCACTATGAGGAGCCTGGCCCTGGCCTGTCTGCTCACCTCAGGGCCCCTGGCACTCAGAGCAGGGCCTGCCACACGTGGATTTGCAGAGCCACTTTGCTGAGTGAATGAACATATGAGTGGAGTAAACGGTTCCTGAGATGATTGGCTCACTTCTGAACTTTCCCCGAGGGCCCCCCCAGGGCTGTCTGTGTCCACTCCTGTCCCTGGGGCCTGGGTCATGGCAGGTCATCCTGGGACCTGAGTGAGCATCTCCCCGGCCTCCAGGGTCCCTTCTGTGACACCCACATACCACTTGGGCATTAAAGTGACCGGAAGTGACCTTCTTCTTGGCTTGGTCTGGGCCTGCCTTTTAGGGTGTGTACATCGATGGGCCAGGCCCCAGGCCAGCCAGGCATGAGAAGATAGATGCAGATGTCCCTGCTTGTCCTGGGCCTGGGGACCTCTCCCCAGTTCCACCCTCTCTACAGGGGGGCCTTTCTCACCCATTCCATTACCCCTCGGGCTACTTGATGTGACTATGATATGATCTCTTTTCATACGGGCCTACTCCATCTCAATCGGTGACATCTGCTGTGTCTTGTACCCACCCGTCCGTCAGTCTGGGGCAGGTCGGCTTGGGAGACCATGAAGCCAGCAGGCCAGAAGCAGAAGGCGTGTGCTTTCCGGGGACCATGCCAAAAATACTTTCCTATGACTCTGGCTGAGGGGCCCACAGGAGGACACCCGGGGCTTCTGTTCTGAGGGGCAGTTTTCTTTCCTACGAGGCAGAGCCTGCCTATTGCTAACTTGCTACAAACAGGAGACCCTTACAGAAAGTCACTCCACTGACTGACTTCAGCTTGGGAGGTAGGGATTATTATCACTCCTATTTAACAGATGAGGAAACGGATAGAAGAAGCTAGCCCTATAGCTAGTAAGTGGCTGTCAACAGAGGCATTGGCTCCCCCACCGTGCGGGGTGGTAGGGCAGGGAACCTCGCCTCCGTCATCAGGCTTGGGCTGGAGCGTTCTGCTCCTTGTACCTCCTTCTGCTGGGTCAGGTGATTCTCCAGGTCCTGAGCTCTCCTCTTTTCAGCCTCCCAGGCTTCCCTCGCTTTTCTTCTCTCGTGGGCCATGTTGCTCTCCAAAACCTGCAATTGATGTACGTATGGGTTGTGATAAGTGTTGTATGAGCCCCTAATAAAACTCTTAAAAAAAAAAAAAGAAGAAAGAAATTATTTTCAGAAAGAAAAAAACCTGCAAGCCAAGGACCAGTCCTGTGGGTTGCCTGCACCCTTAGGTGGGAAATCCTAAATCATGACGAGGAAGAGGATCACAGGTGGGGAGCCAGGAGCAGGGGCTCGGGGCAGCACTTCCTATGCAGGTCGGCATTAATGCTCACAGCAGCCCAACCGGAGGGGCCCCGTTTTATAGCCGTGGAAACGAAGAAATAGACTTTTTTTCCTCTTTTGGACAACTGCTTGTTACAAAATATATTCAGTCGTGTTAAGGCGTCCCCGAGGGGCGTGGTTAACGTGCTCGGCTGGAGTCATGTCAGAAGAAAGGCCTGGAATCTGCTTCTTTGAACAGACTGGCCTTTAGGAAGAAAACACCGAGGAGCGCGGTCCTCCTCAGACACACGTGGGGCGCGAGAGAAGGAGGGGGGTGAGCGGCCCACGTGGGTGCTGTCTGTGAGCAACAAGGTCAGCACTTGAGTCCTGGGAAGAACAACAGCCCACTGCCTACAGGCAGGGCCTTGGTCAGGAGCCAGTGAGCAGAGAGAGCCGGGCCACTTTACCACCCGCTGTGCCAGGCCACCTCTCAGCTCCACATGCTGGGCTTTCCCTTTATTGACAGAAATCGATTCTAATGCATCCGGTCTAGAAGATGGCAGCACACCGAACTGATATATGGCTTTCTAGAAAACTCAAAAACCAAGCTCACTGGCATCAGATTGACTCTGACTCTTAGCGGCCCAATAGGACAGAGTAGAGCTGGCTGCCCCTGTGGGTTTCAGAGACTGTAAAACTTATGGAGTAGAAAGCCTCATCTTTCTCCCTTGGAGCTGTGGGTGGAATTGAACTGCTGACCTTGGGGTTAGTAGCCCAAAGCGTAACCCACAATGCCACCAGGGCTCCTAACTGCAAACTCACTGGCACGGAAACTCTGCAGGAGTGGGTAGAACTGCCCCTTTGCGTTTCCAAGCCTTTAAGTCTTTACAGGAGTGGGTAGCCTTGTCCCCTTCCTGGGATGGCCATTTAGGGAAGACAAAGGACAGCGAGTGTTTGCTGCCCGTAATCAAGGAATTGGATCTGGGAAGTCACTTGCTGACAAGCTATTCTCCTACGTGGCTTAATGCAAATGGCCAAAGGGTATGCATGCACTGTGGGCCAGGCCCTTGTTCCTAGTGACTGCAAGAAAGGATGTCTGAGCTATCCAATGGGCTGTGTTTTTCACACTGCGTTGACTGTCAGTATTGGAGACATGGTACACGGCTTCCATTCTAACAAGTGGTT